GAGAGGCGGGCTAAAAATAAAACTTATTATTATTATTATTATTATTATGAAGAGCCTCTCCTTGACATTGGCATCACTAAAGGGGTGCAGGGGTGTGGACTGCCCTGGGTGACACCTCAGAAGAAGGTGACACCCGGTTGGCCTCCTCCCCTTTAGTCCGGGAGGGGCAAACAGACACCGTTGGGGTCTGTCCCATCCCTTGGCTTCCTCTCCAAGGAGAAAGCCCAGGGTCAGAGGAGCAGGAAGGACAAATGTACCCTTTTGCTCTTTTAGTGGGAAAAAAGCAACAAAATCACTCTCCTTTTCATTTCACAGAATCATAGAGTTATAGAATCCTAGAGTTGGAAGAGACCACAAGAACCATCCAAGTCCAACCCCCTGCCATGCAAGAACTCACAATCAAAGCATCCCCGACAGATGGCCATCCAGCCTCTGCTTAAAGACCTCCAAGGAAGGAGACTCCACCACTCTCCAAGGGAGAGCGTTCCACTGTTGAACAGCTCTTACTGTCAGGAAGTTCCTCTTAATGTTGAGGTGGAATCTCTTTTCCTCTAGTTTGAATCAATTGCTCTGCGTCCTATTCTCTGGAGCAGCAGAAAACAAGCTTCATCCATCCTCAATATGATACTTCAAATACTTAAACAGGGCTATCATATCACCTCTTAACCATCTCTTCTCCAGGCTAAGCATATCCAGCTCCCTAAGTCTCTCCTCATAAGGCCTCCACCATTTTAGTCACCTCCTCTGGATACGCTGCAGCTTGTCACAATCCTTTTTGAATTGTGGTGTCCAGAACTTGACACGGTATTCCAGGTGAGACCTGACCAAAGCAGAATAGAGTGGCACTATATTTCATGAGTACCTTTGTAGGGTCTGGCTGGGAGTTGGGCGACTGGGTAGCCGGGGTGTGTGTGCAGGTAAGCATGTTAGCAGGAAGAGGTGGGATGGGGTATAAAACCCACAGCCCCACATCCCTCCGCACCTGGTGAGACCATAGCTAGTGACGCCACTGCTCCTTGAAAGCACCAATCCCTGTATCATCTCACTTTATGTCAGTGCTAGCCCCAGGCTGGGCAGAAGCAGCTCCTGGGCAAAATGGTCTCAATAACACCCTTCCATTCTTGTGTGTTCCCACTTTATCCTCATCACTCTTGCCATGTCCAGGGTGTCTCTCTCTCTCTGTCTCTCCCTCTCCTGAATAGAGAAGGTGTCCCCTCTCTTATTTATTAATTAAAATACTTCTGTCTCACCCTATATCCAAAGATCTCAGGGCAGCTTACAGTGAAATCAATTTTAAAAATAAACTAATTTGAAAGACTAATAAATAAATAAATAAATAAACCATTTTCTAGCTAAAACCAGACAACTTGAAACCAGTGGTTAACTGGAAATTGGGATAGCATATCATTAGATGTGGAGGACTTTAAAAAAAACTGCACAATTTCAAGTTCTAGGGAGGGAGAAACAGCTAACAGATGGCGCATATGACGCCATCCAAGGTCCTCTCTTCAGTGTTTGAGTTGTTGCTGGTTAAGAAGAAGGAATGAAGTGAGGCTGATTTAAATGCTACAATTCTAAGCCTCTCTCCAACACTGGGTGCCTAAAATATTGTGTTGGACTACAGTTACCATCATCCTTAACTAGAATGGGCAATGGTTAGGAATTATGGGATTGCAGTTGATGACATGTAGAGACCCCATTTCATGCTCCATATGTTTTGGGATGGAGCTGCCAGCTTCCTCCAACAACAGTTGGAGGGCTGTATAATTCCTGCTCTGTTCTAAGAAAAACAAGAGATTTTGTTAGAAATTCCATCTAACACTTTCTGAATTAGTATGAAATTTGATTTTAATATCTCTTAGTTTTGCTTTCTCTCACATTCAGTTTTTTAAACCTCAGGTTCCTTTTGTTCCCAAAACCATATGAAGAAATATGAGAAAGTTCATAATTCCATCAAAAGCAAACTAGAAGAAAACATCTTTTTTAAAAAAAAAAAAAAATTGAAGAAAATCTTGGGTTCTTTCTATTGTGAATATGAAAAAAACCTGTGTGATTTGTTATAAATTTATCAAAAATGTAATAAACCGAATTATAATCAATTCCTAATATATACACAATAGTAATCACATCTTCCTTTCTCAATACAGAATCTTGTTCATTCAGTGTTACAAAGACCCAGACCGTTTCATCCAACCAAACATGGTCCTACCTATCTGATGTTCCCCTTCTGTGTCATCATAGATGGCAACGGCATCATAAATACAGTCCTGGCTGATTTCAATGGCAAAGTCTTCAAACTCCAACTGAAACAGAAGTTGGCAGCATTCATCACCAAAGATCACTTTTGAGCGTATACAGTATAATCACAGGCATGGGCATGAACAAAGTGAGGATATGGGTGAGAGGGTCCATTGGGTCAGTGATGGCCCGTGAGTACATGACACACAGAGATGTTTCTAGAAAGTTGAATGTCTCCCTTCCTCTGAATGAGGCACAACAACCAAGATAACAGTCCTTTATTACCTTTATGATATGTTCCAATGGAGCCTCTATGAGCCAATGGCATTTGGTGCTACTGGGGTATAAGCCAGGATAGTTAGCCGTGTCAAACTTCCCTTCTTCAGTCAGAACCGCTACACTGCCACAGCCAGAACCTATGATACAGAAGGAGGAAATCTGAAGTTGTCATTTTTGACACACCGTCCTCTCCTAGGCTTCATTAGGTAGAGAATCACACTAGCAAACAAAGTCAAGGTGTTATTAAAAAGCAGCCAGTTGTGTCACTGAGTGTATTACTAAGGGGGGAAAAATCTCAAAGATCACATCTTGGAGCTTGCAGAGTTCATATTGTGGTTGGTTTTATGCACCTTCAAGATGACCCTGTCAAAGAGTGGTTTGTTTGTTTCAGCCACAATTTATTCAGAGGAGTTTGCCATTGCCTCCCATTCAGGCTAAAGGAGTGTGATCTGCCCAAGCTTTACCATTTTGTCATATTTTTACATTTTTATTTTATTTTATTCATTGATATTCTGCCTTTTTTCTAGTCCTAGAACCCAAGGCAGCTTTGAAACATTAACACTGACACAGATAAAATTTCACATCACTAAAAAACATAGAATTGTTAAAATATAATTAAAATAGCAATAAAGTTAAAAGCAACTTAAAAGATTACCATAAAAAGCAATAATATATTTACTGCAATACAACCCAAAATACACTAAAATCTTGATGCTGTCTTTTGGAACTGAGGTTTTTTCATTAGGCAAAATGTTTTAAAATTCATACAGGGGATGCATGGTTGTTAGGGTCATGTAGTTCACATTTCATCTTTAGATGATATAAGAGCAAAGATGAATGAACTATACAATTATGCTTCAAAAACCAGACCCTGTCTCCTGGGGTCTTGGGCTCACTAAAAAGAAAGGCAACAGAAGTAGAGCCATAAATGGACAGGTTGCACACCTGTAACAGTATTTCTTCAAGTGGTCATCTGCGAATTCACACAAATGGGTTTTGTCTGCACATGCGCAGCTAGCTCGCAACCTTCTGGAATCACTAGGCAGAAGTTGGATTGCAACTTTTTGGCGGTAGCTCCACCCACCTCTATATAAGCCCCGCGTTCCCGCTCCTTCTTCAGTTCCAAGTACGCCACTAAAGAGTGACAGCAAGGTTATCAACTAGAGCAGGACACGACTGAGGGGAGGTTGGGAGGGATTTGTGTGAATTCACAGATGACCACTCAAAGAAATACTGTTACAGGTGTGCAGCCTGTCCTTCTTCTTCGTGTTCTATGCGAATCACACAAATGGGTTATTCAGACTAGCAAGATAATGTCCCTGGAGGAGGGAGTGTCCTGACACAAGGCTCAGAGGTGCAAACAAGAAAGTTTATTGGCACAAAAATAGCCAATGTAATAGGCACCTGAATGTTCATATGCATCAAATTCAAGTACATCAGGAACTGATTGTAACCCAACAGTCAGTGAGTTTCAAGTGCAAATGGAATAATAGTAAACAATTGCATAAATTCAAGTCAGAATTCAAGAAGAACCCATATTGGTATTTCATGAACAATAAATAAACTTTCAATTCAAGCATCACTATAAGTACATTCGTACTATAAACCCAATATTCAATATATTCATCTAAGTGAGTGCATAATGAAGTTAGTGCAAACATATACAATAACA